AGGTGTTTGTTAAAATGCACTAAAAGTTATTGATATGCTCTTTATGTTTCATAACCCACCCTGCCCACTCATCAGGACCTGTGTTTTTCCAGATCAAGGAAACAGACAGTAAAAATCATGTCAGATCCCCCACAGCCAGGTCACATCTTCTCTGATCTGAAACCTTTCATCTAACACTGCCGAGTACTTAGCACCACAAACAAACATTGGCAAGAGCATTGTTATTATAGGTGTTATATCATTACACTGTGTAGGTATGTGTAAATTAGGGGAAAGGGTAATATCCTATTTATCTTATTGTGAGGAAGGAAAATTATCCTAATAAGAGGAGGATGATGATTACATGTCCTGTCTGTGAAGCATTTTTGAGACTTTACATGATACATTGACCTGTACAAGTCCAATTGTCTTGACTTGACTTTAAGTTATAAGGGGTAGGAGGAAGTATATTTCTGAGTCAAATGAGAACAATGAGCATATGAAGTTATAGCTTATGAAATGTCTCTTCTTTTTTTTTGTTCCAAACAGAAAAGAAGAAGAAGAAGACGTCTTGCTTAAAGCTGATTCATTTCATGTCAAAATATTTTTTTATACAGTAGTATTTTAAAACTATGAATGTAGCTTATGGCTGTGAAATAAGAAACCAATGTTGGTGTTCACATGTTCTTTATAATGGTCTGGAAATAGCGCATTGATCAAATACCTTCAGTTCTTGGGAAATGTTTCAGAATTACAGCAGATCTCAGGATCAGCGGATGCTTCTCTGCTTTATTGCCTATTAAGCTTGTCCTTGTTCCTTATGGTATCAACAGCATCCTGTTGTTGCAACACCTCGAAACAAGTTGGGGTTTTTTTGTTTTGGTTTTTTTTTACTTTTAATGCGCTTTCTATGATTTGGTGTGACCAGCACTCACAGGTGCTTTTTATTGATGCCTATAACACATCTCCAAGCTCTTCATCATTCTGCTCAGATTCCTCAAACAGCCAGTACATGGCAGGCAGCAGTGCTGGATGTGCTGAGCTCACTGCTTTCTCCTCTCCAGTGACAGAGCCATAACCCTCTACAAACAGCTGGTTCGGTCCAGTTCATGCTGGGGACACGGCAGTCAACGACTCCCCGATGATAAAATGTTTCATTAGCATTTTCATCAGCACACGCTCCAGCAGACAAAGGGAGCCTCTGTCTGCTGGAGTGTGCACTGACCTTGAGTAAGAGCCTGGCCCTCTTAATGAACCAATCGGCAGTCGTATGCTTGCATTTGCCAGCAGCATGCCCGAGGTCTGAGAGCACTTATCAAACAAATCCAAAAATATTATGGATGCCATATTTAATGTAGTGTTTGGTGGGAGCTTTTAGCTAAAGTGCTTTACAGTGCTAAGTGCATACATTTTTAGTATGGATGAGCCCAGTGGGAGCAGAGCCTAAAACTTCCTGCTTCATAGGCAATCTGTTCTTAAAGATTTGTTCTCCTCAGTGAAGGAGAGGAGGGAAACGAGTGACATCCTTGAGCTGTTTCACATGTCTGCCATCAAGGACCTTGAGCTCTTACGTATTCTTCTGTCAAACCGACGTGTAACAGTTATAACTTTGAACGTGCTTTAATGGAAGTGGGTTTGTACATAGATCATAAATTTGGTTCTTTTGCCCTGTATCTCCAAAACTTGATTTTAAACAATTCTCACTATCACAGACTTTATTTCTTCCATTACGGTCAGTTCTTTTGCACCAATCTGTACCCTTTCAACATCAGGCTAAGGTAGAGCCATCTCAAGTAGAACACAGCAAGGCCTTTATTTGTCACCTGGTTTTAGATGTGTTAGTGTGAGACAAGTTGGTTCAGGTCCTTCTGATATCAGCCTTCTTTGCGTCTCCTGTTTGGCGATGTCACCTTCTTACATGCGCATGTCCCACCTGTTCTCATGTAAGTGAATAATCAGTGGAATTTACCATCTCAGATTTGTTAAAATCTAGCAACATTTGTGGATATGTTCAGATTTGGTATGTTTTCAAAATATGTTGCACATTTCTCTGTTAGGTGATGAGTCTGAAGAATCATGTACATATCAGGTTTTATTTGTTTCTGATGTTTTCTCTGTGCCTCCTGTGTTTATTAGAGTTATTCTTTATGTGCCAGGGTTCTCTGTTTGGGTTATGTCATGTTTTGCTTTGAAGATTAGTTCTAATGTGTCTCCTTGTAGTTTTACTTCCTGCTTATCTTGCATGCCCACTTTTGTGTTTGTCTGCCCCGCTCTCATTAGTTCCACCTGTGTTTGATGGGCTTCACCTCTGTCTAATGCTATATAGTCCTGCCTTTCCTTTTGTCAGTGCGCCATGTGTTCTTGTAGCATGTGTCATGCTTTTAGTCTGGGATTGCTGTTTTCCTTTAGGCTATGTGTGTCTGGATTTTAATCAGCCTCTTTGTCCTGCATTTGGACTGTGTGTTTCAGTGCTTCCTGGAACTGAGATAACAATATTGAGTATGTGTGGAGGTTACTGAGATTGCTGTGAAACATTCACTGGTTGCATGAGCTCATTCTTTAATGTAATGTTTTAAAGGGGGGAAAATCAATAGGTAGATGTATATATTTATATAGAGAGAGATGGATATATATTGGAAAGGTAGCTTAATGGTCAAAGTTTTGTTGATGAAACTGTTTTTATTTTTAATTGTTGCACAGGTCATGTTCTTGCCGTTTCACCTAACGTGGGCAAACACACATTAGTGTTTTGCCCACATTATCCTGGGAAGGGTTTGGATCTTGGGTTTTACAGCATTCCCAATAATGGTAACACTTGAGGAAAAGCATTTTTCATGAACAGTCTCTTCTAAGAATTCTGTAAAATTTGCAAAATGCAGGCAAAAGACTGACAGACCTCTCATTGAACATATTAATGTCATTTTGATTCCCCATAGGGCTTTTCTGTAGGATTATCATGTATTGTAGATGTAACTTCATGCCGTTTAGGAAGAATATGTGCGTTTGGCTGCTTTGGATCCACCAGATAAGACTGAGTGGAGTGGTGTGCAGGTCCTGAAACAATAACAAACAATGGATTTATTGGTTCTGGCTGCAGCTCTGTTTACACAGAGGCACCTCATGCAGGAGCTGATAAAAGCTTGGACATCAGCAGAGTTCCCCACAGAGACACACACATATGTGAGCAACATTTTTTTTTTCTTTTTCTGTCAGGTTTGGTAAACAGGCTGTGCACACTGACAAGAGTAAAATGAAGTTCAGAGTGAAAATCTGGCAGTTAAAGGTGCCCCACACAATGCTGGCTTATCAGGGAGTCAGTGGTGGAACATATGGACCGGATGTTTCTACCAGACTTCCTGGGCCCCTGTCTACATGTTTTATCACACTGATGCTTTATGACCGACATTTTTTTTTCTTTTTTGTAATCTGTTCAAAGTGAAAGGTGACCCCAGTTTAAAAATAAATAAATATACATTTTTACATGTGTTTTTTAAATAAAAAAAAATAAAACAATGTATAATTGGAGAAGACTTTGGAGCTTTCACCATGAACAGATGACTGATGCTGGGTGTTATTGTTTGGTACATGCTGCCATCTTCTGGTTCTTCCAGTTAGCCTCTGCATTACACCAAATTACTTCTCTGCAAACGGGGATGGACCGTCTACATAACTGTCCAGGGTCACCGTAGACTTTGCGCTACTGTAGACTCGACCTCTGCGAGCATGTGGCTATCTGGAAATGTGCTGTTTACTTTAAATAAGCGCAAATAAATAAGAACAACAGATTCAAATTGTCCTGTGTTCATAATCTCATTTTCTATTATAACATTGCAACATTTTAAATAATACTTTTCAAAAACGTGCATTTTATATTTATAGCAAATTTGTGTTGAATTGAGAAGACAATTATCCTGTAATTAACATTGTTTCAGTGCATCTGCGAGCATCTCCACTTTACCTCTCCAACTTTTTCTCCAACCTACTCAACCTGATCTGTCCGTCTCATATACTCATTTCTAATCCCATTGATTCTTGTCACTCCCAATGAAAATCTTAGTATAGTCACCTCAGTACCACCCCCTGTCTATATGTTAGTGCAAACATGTCCAAACCATACATTTTAACAGGTCTCATTATTATCATGTAAACATTTTTCAGTCTCGCTGCTATCCCTCTGTCACTGATCCCACCCTGACACCCCTTGCTTTGGCTCTCAAACTTAAATGTATCCACCTTCACTACCTCCGCTCCATGTAGCTTCACTGTTACACTTCTCTCCCTCTCAGCTGCATGATTTCTGTCTTGCTTTTATTCAGTTTAATTCCTTTTCTCTAGTGCATACCTCCACCTCTCCCAGACATTGCCTACAAACATCATAGTCCACGGAGACTCCTGTCTGACCTCATCTATCAGCCTGTCCATCACCACTGCAAACAAGGAGGGTTCAGAGCTGATCCCTGATGTAATTCCACCCCCACCTCGAACCCATCTGGCACTCATACCGCACACCTTACCAGTGTTTTACCGTCTTCATAAATGTTGTGCGCCATCTTTACATACTTCTGTCACTCCTGACCTCCTGACTGAAAGTAAATGTTATGTGTGTAATGCACTTTCTTGGCAGGAAACCACACTCAGGCTTCTTAACTTAGTTTCAACAATGCTTTCACATAGCTTCATGGCAGGGCTCAACAACTTTATAGCTTGAAAATCAGTACCAGTTCTTCCCCATTCCTCAGACATGCTCTCACGCTGAACACAGATTGTGTTAAACAGTCTTGTTTAAATCACTTTCCATCTCTTGTAGACATCTCAGCACTTCTACAGGTATTTGGACCAAATGCATTTTCATTCATCGCCCTCATTTCCTCCTTACTAATTCTCTGCACTTCCTTGATTCTCTTTCCTCCATCCACATTCCTCTTTCTCTAATTTTCTACATTATTTCCTTGAAAGCTGTGCCATGTAAAATATATATTAAAAACTGAACTGAACTGAATGAATCATACCAAGACAACATCAAATATTGAAACAGAAGTTTTTTACTGTACATTTCTAAAAACAACACACTGTGTTTACTGGGGGAGACCCAGGAGTACATGTTGCTGTGAAAGCAAAATATTTTACAATCTTTGCTTAATGAAGGATTTCAACTGCTCAACAGTTCAGGCATTGGTGCTATGCGGACCAATGTCCTCCATACCATCATACGTGCTGGCATTTGAACTGCATGCTGATAACAAGCAGGATGTTCACTCTCATCTTTACTCCAGAGGGTAGAAGTATTCCTGGATCATAGTGGTGGTCTGTGCGTTTGCATGGTTTTTGAACATGCATTTGTAAATGCAGTCAGATATCACATCCACAGACTCTTTCAGAACAAATCCTTAGCCCATGCAGTCTACCGCTGAATCACATCTTGAAAATCATAGCCACTCAATATCAATTTTCAGCTTTTTCTATTATGTACAGAAATATGTTAGTGATACTTATTTACTCTAGATCATGAATTCTCTAAATGCTTTGCAATTTTACATCCAGAATATTTTTTTACCTGCTTAGCACTCCTTTTTTGGTTGATTTTCTGTCTGTGAAGCACTTTGTAATGTTAAAATTATATCTATCTATCTATCTATCTATCTATCTATCTATATCTATCTTGTGAGCTGAAAAGATATTTAAAATAAACACACTTCTCAAAATATACTAATGCTTCTCAGTTTTGAGATTACTCTTAAAGCACTGTACCTGCCCAGCACTTAACTGTACACTGTTAGGGAAAAAAAAAAAAAAAAGATTAGATAAATAATTATGTGGCTGAATATCCAGATATTTGTAAGTGTTGGTGAAGACTAAGCCAGATCTTTCACATGCACAAAATCACAACTTCAGATATGTACTAATGTTTCTAATATAATAAGCCAGAAAAAAGCCTTTCTGCCTTCTTGTAGACGAATATTGGTTAAATTCATTTGAAGTGTATATTAAGGAAAGAATAAGAAACCAAAATGAAACCCACAAACTAGCAGCAAAAGCTCTGATTGGCCAGTGTGAAAGCAGATTTGTCGGAAATAAACAAGTACGTTTAATCTACTTGTAAAAGTTAAACGTGCCACTTCATTGATTGTTTATAACTGAACACTGTAAAAGATCAGTACATCTGGGGTAAAGTAAACAATTTTAACTATGCCACATATTTTGTCCCAGTCCTCTTTTTACTGCTCTCAGACAGGACGGAACGTGAGGGTGAGGTCAGCACTCCGGTGTGGGATGATGTAGCGCTCCTCCCTCAAGAGACGCAGAAGCAAATCCTGGGTGTCCTGGGGCCAACGGTAGATTCTGGTACTCTGAAGCCAGCTGGGTACATGAGTCTGTAAGAGGATACGAGGGGTAGACGTGGGTTAGCATGCACAGTCGATATACTTAATCCTCTGGATTCATGGGCCTTTTACCTGGAACCTAACTGCCCTCATCTCTTTCCTGTTTATAGTCTACGTAAAGCTGTAAACTTTATTTGTCCTTTTCTTTTCAATCAGTTTTTTTGGAGGGTTTATTTCCTCACATAGGTTTTACTTGTGCTTCCAATGCAGGGGTGATGGTGAGTGGTTTATTAAAGGGTGAGTTCACACAAATCACAAAGACGTGTTACCCCCCACCAATCATGTGTTGATCAGTCTTACCTTGGCTGCATTGGGAAACATCACAGGAACCAGTCTGAAGTTCAGGCAGCCTTGCTGGATGTACTCATTTTGAATCTGTGCCATTGTGAAAGGATAGTCAGTGATAGAACTAAACAAATGCTTCACTCATGAGTTAAACCAAAATGTATTTTCCTTGTCACCTAACATTGACTCAATTACACATTGTGATTGATGCTCTGACAGAAAGCAAAAGAATTTGACTGCACTCTGCTCTGGCACACTAACACAGTGAGGAATCTGGGAGGAACGGTTCTGTTTTCAGTTCCTGGGAGGTATTTCCTCATTCTTCCATGCAATTGAAATGTGAGGGGAGGTACTATAATGATACAGAAAAGCCACAAGAGGGAGACATTGTGAGAAAATATTTGCTTCTCAGTTCCTAAGAGACCATTTACCTGGTTGTGGATGTACTTGGTGTGCAGGCCATGCTCATCGACTCCATCTCCTTCCACATCCGCTTTGTACTTGGGGCTGATGGCCACAATGATCAGCACTGATTTCTGTCAAAACAATCCTCACTGTCAATTTTTCAGCACAGCTGTGATAAGAGTTGAAGATTTGCCTAATCAAACTCAGCCGTCACACTTACATCATTCAGAAAACGGTCCGTCCATTGGTTGATACCCATGTTTCGGATTGAACTGTCAAACATGTCGAGCTGAGGAAAGGCAGAGCGAGTGAGAACATTTGAAGTGGAGTGAGCATCTGCGGGAAATCAAAGGCTGATGAACGAGTGGACTTACTGAGGGTCTAAAGCCTTGGTCCACGAGAAATTTAACAAAAATGAACATTTCCTTGGCTATGTCCACTGAATATGTGATAAAAACTCTTCCTGTCAACGAGGGAGGGGAAAAACAGAAAACAAAAAAACCCATCATTCATTATCCTGAACAGAAGGGAAACATGAAACAGAAGGGAATGATGCATGCTTTGGCACATGGTGGGACTTACTGCACTCCTCGGGAAGACTGATGGTCCTCCTGATCTCCTTCGTGTCTGATCCTGCGCCTGCAAGGTCGGAGCAACCCACGCTGACCTCATGCATCACGTCTAGAGGAGGTGCATAGGGAGCCGCAGAACCACTGTGACCATTAAGAGCACCTTTAAGTTGCTGCCCATTTTGAGAGAGATTCCTGTGGAGGGAAATGATGAGAACTGACCACAGAGTGACTCACAACATATGGTATTGGGGAAAGTATTCCACCAGTGAACCAATGCTGGAATTAGTAGATCATAATGACAAACATTTTCTGGTGGGGTTGAGGCTCCTGGTGTCGGGCTGCTGGGTAACCCGGGTCTTGATGACGATAATTATCGCGTCCGCGCGGGTTTGCTGGCGGGCAGCACGCGCGCTGTTTCAGACAGCTTCCCTGCATTGGCATGTGGCCTGCAGACAGACACAGAGGAGCAGACATAAGTTCCCCTTTCAGATGGTTTAGCAGAAATGAGATGCAGATTGTCCTGCTTCTGGAATGCAATAGCACATTTAGGCCATCGTAGTCTAAGGAGCTTGGAAAGAAAAGCGTCTGGACTTGAAAACCTTTCACCTGTCATCCGAAAAGCTTCTTCAGTTCTAAATAGCACATTTACTGTTTGTTTTTGAGTGCATAAATTATGGTTTTAAATGACTGCTGCCTACAACCAATAATTTTTTTCAGTGACATTCACAATATGTCACAATATGACCAATTATAGTTATCATTTGTTATGGGACACTCAATGTTTCCATGTTATTGAGCGCCAGCCACAAAGTAAAGATGTCTTAAAGCGGGCATGAGTTTGGTGTTTTAGTGTCCTATGACACAGTATCAACAAACAGGGCTGAAAAAGGAAGCTAAATAGAATCCCATTTTAAAATGCTTAACGTTTTTACAGCCTGTTACAATGTGGTACAACAGTGCTGACTTCTGTGTGAATTTGTTTTCCTGCTCACCTGGTTGGATTTTTTTTTTTCTTTACAGGCCTAAAGTTGTGGGTGTGATCGTTTATGCTGAAAGGTTTCAGCAAACAGTAGAGAAACCTATGGATTACGTATTTTTTTGTTTTCCACGTAAATCTGTGGACTCCAAACATATCAGCAAAAACTGAGACATTGTAAGGGATTAAGGTACAGATTATTTTTCCTTTAATTTGTGACCTCTTTTACTGTGTTCTGTGTAAATATTGGATAATTTTTCAGATCTACTTAAATGAAACAATCCAGTGGTAATTCACTGACATACTCACGTGGCATATGTGGAATTGGCATTTTAACATAGTTGATGCTGTTGAAGTCCGATTTGAGCGGTTGGGGGGGCTCCAAGTACTCTGCATCGTCCACAGAGTGGCTCCAGTGCTGGCTTGAAGGGCCTATGGGGTCTTGCTTATACTGCACTTTCTGTCTTAGGCTAACATGCCAAAAATCTTCCATGAATGGGGCATTCACATGTCCTGAGAGTGGTGCTGCTGGGGAGTTAATGCGAAACTGGTGCTTATACTGGTTCTCAGGGAATTTACTCAAGCCCACTTGTTGTGCTGCCCGCTGTGGAGGCTCAAATTCACGGGCCTCTAGCCTTTTGACGGTCTCTGTGTGTGCGTTACACTGTTCACATGGGGGGAGCCGTTCCAAGTCCAGAGTCTCACCCATTTCAACAGGAATGCTATGATGGGGACAAGGCCCTGAAAGCAAGAAGGAAAAGATCAACAAGTTTTTACTCACTTCACTGAAAATGGCATTTTTGGCAAGCTGATAGCTCTGTGTCTGTGCTTTCCTACCTTTAAAAGGGTCCATTTTTAAATTTTATTTTACTAATTAAAAGTGTCTTTGGCCTCTGTGGTGAAAATGAAAGCAGTGTTAAAATAATCTGTTGCAACATGGCACCTTAAAGACAAACACACACAAAAACACACGCGCACACACACACAGCAAAACGCCCTACATAAAATCAACATGGCGGTTACAAACCGAGACTAGAACCACAGGGAAAAACATTACCCTTAATACGGCAAACTCTTCTCGGTAGAAGTATTCATGTGTTCTTTTATTTTTCACACTGAAACAAGTGAAAATGGAGGATCTCTACAGGTGGGTTGAAGCGTAACCTGATCGTGACAAACAAGTACAAAGGTCAGAATCATTCATCAAAAGCAATGCCAGGTATTTATTTTTAAACAATAACTAAAAAAAATGTCAAAAGTTAACTTGGTGTTTGACATTACAAGTTAAAGAACAAAGCCAATGTGTTTTCACACCTACCTTTGCTTAAAGCTCCTCAGCCCCAGCACAAACCTGTTTTGTGGCAAACAGGAAACATTCCCGCTGCTTGTTCCTTCCTGTCTTATGCAAATCTTGTCTCGTGACCCATTTATGCAAAAGGTGTGGAGCGTGAACTCCAGGGCTGCCAATCAGGTTGCCTCTTCAACCAGGTAGGCAGGCTGCAGCCAGCCACATTCAACTGTTTTGTTGGAAAGGTGTCATGTTTTGTTTTCATCACACATTGTGAAGCAATGAAATTGAAGCAGCAGGGGGAAAAAGGATACACAGGACTTGACAGGTAAAGAATATATTCTGCAGCATGTATAAAACAGTACTGAACTGTGTTCTCAGTAGATTTTATACAGTGACCCATTTTCAAGGCCATCAAACAAGAACATGTTTTTGTTTCATAACTAGACATGATCCATATCACACCCAAGTCTGATTTTCCTTTTTTGTTTTATAAATAAACTGTATTGACAAAGGTCCACAGTCGGGCAAAAGGTTGTATATAATGGTTCTTTGAGCAAAATGCATACCATGTTTTTGTGTGGATGGGAAAAAATGCAGTAACTTCTGGGTCTGAAAAGAGAACTAGTTTAATATCTTAAACTTGCATTCTTTCTGATGTTCAACACTGGTCATTCCTGTGCTTGGAAGAAGAAACCAAGAGGGGTGTGTCATTAAGCTAGATTACTAGGTTAGCAAGAAAGTCTTGTTTTGTTGTTTGTCATGAAAGTGTCTCTCTTTCTACCTGACTAAAACATTGTGGTAATTTAACCTGAACAGGAGCGGGTTATGTTCAGGATTTCTTTTTACAAACGGCTGGACTTGCATATGATTTTTTTTCTTAGTAGAATTTAAATTGTACCTCTGTACTGTACCTCACTGATATTGCAAATGAAGCGCAGCTGTACAAACGTCACAATGTTGCTGGAATATTCATCTGGTGATGCAGAAAATGTGTAAATGTTCATATACTTGATTCTGATCTGCTGCTCTTTTACAGCGCAGTTAGTAGAATGCAGAACACACACAAAGAGCACCTGTCAATCAATAAAATTGATTTAACTTCTGCCAACAAACTAAATTTCCACATCGCCTTTATTAAGGTACAGGGCAGTTTTAAAGTTCCAGAGCTCTACTGTGAACGATAGGCAGAATTCATAGGGATAATTTTGTATGGAAAAAGATCATATGACACAGCAAAGAAAGGCCGCCTCAACAGAGAAAGTTGCAGAAATTATAGTGTGATATCTCTCATCTCTGACTGGGGTTTTAGGTTTTGTCAAGTCAGCTTATACAAAGAAAGCCTGGCTTATTTCCTTTGTAGTACACCCTTCAGTAGTACAGAAGGTTGATTTTAAAACAACAAGAGTGCCCAAAATCAACCTTCTGGGTTAATAATGTAACTTTAGTAACCAGTGACTGTTGGTGACGATGTCAGTAGATGTACTTTATATGTTGGCATCACATACAGTAAAAAACATAGACGTAGGACCCCGGTTGGAAAAATTCAGCCAATATGCAGTTCCTTAAACCTGCCTTCTGTCTCAAGTCCACCTGATGACGATAGTTGTGAATGCAAAAGGACTCCCAGTCCCATAGAAGTCCATGGAAAAATGGCTTTCTGACTTAGAAGGAAAACGTTTTGAGAGGTTGAGTTTATGGGCTCAGTCACTCATTTTGGGCCATATTGAATACAAAATAAATTTTTAAATCTCAGTCATAAATTTTTTAAGAAATAGAGGCTTATCTGTGGCATTAATTCACAAAATATCTGTTTATCTGTTGGATTCAGCTTTTTGGGACATATGTATAACTTCATAGCAATCAAGAAATTGTTGAGGTGTTTCAGAGCAGGTCATCCATCTGTCCAATTTGGGCTTTTGCTGCAATCTAATATTGTTGTATGTATTGAGAGCCATGACACCAACATAAGTATTTTAATCTTTCTTTCAAGTCCTTGCACTTCATTTGACATTTTGACACCTTTTCAGAATTTGTCCCAAGTATCTGTTTTTGCAATATATTCTGTTAAACAAGTTTTTCATATACACCATCTGCGTATATGCTGATACTGTTCTACCTGTGTAAACCAACCAAACACATCATTCTGGCTTTAGGTTAATATCAAACTTGATGAGTTTCCAGGGATACAGCCTGTAAAAGTAGGTAAGTGTACCTTGATTCACGGCTTTTGTGTTAAAACTAGTTTAAAGAAGAAACTTAAACCTTTTTATCTTCTTGGAGTTCGTTCTATTCTGTAGGTTTTAAACTGGTTAGCACCACAGACACAGGGTTGCTGGAATATGAAGCCTTATGATCCACCACTGAAAAAACTTTCATGGTAGTATTTGTGAGGACAGAGCCCAGTTCAAGTGCCTTCTCATTACAAGTCAGTACCTGGACCAGCTCTTGCCGGAAGCGTCGACTGACCATACAGTAGAGTAGGAAGTTTGTGGTGGAGTTCAGGTTCTGCAGCATGTTGGCAATGTCTCCGGCAACGTTGATTGGAATGCTGTAGTCATTTCTATTAAAATTCTCATTATTGTAGTTGGTCCTCAAGATGCAATACGTGACAAAACGAGGAAGGCTAAGCACAACAAAAGCCACAGAGACGGTTCCCAGCAGGAGAATGGTCCTCCTCAACATGCCCCTCGTGCTTTTACCCTGCATGACACGATACTCCTCTTTAGTGAAGAGCTTACTGGTGTTGCACAAATGGTACCCAATGAGGTAATTGAAAATGATAACCAACACGATCGGAATTCCTCCTGAGAGGAATGTAGTTATCCACACTATAACAGTAGTGTAGGTCTCATTGCGGTATAGACATCTGGGCAATGTGATGTTCTCTCCATCCACTGTGAGGTTCACAGGTGTGACAATATTGATCCAAGCCAGAGGCACAGAGACCAGGTGGGATACCAGCACAATCGCTATGCAGGTAAGCTTAGTGACCCTAGTTTGGGACAAATACTGTTTGACAGCTGTGCTGCGAAGGACCAAGTAACGCTCGATGGTGAACACCACCACAATCCAAGAGGAGCTGTAGAGTGACCCATACTGCAAAAATCCCAGAATGCTACACCAGGGGTAAGAGTGCCAGAAGGGCTGCAGGGTCCAGAAGGCGAGAGTTAGGTCAATAAGAATTACCCACACCAAGTAGAAAATGTCAGCAATAGCTAGACAACTGAGGTAGATGATGGCTGTGCTGGACATCCCACAATTACGGAAACAGATCATGTAGAATGTGAAGAGGTTTCCTAGAACAAAGGGTAGGAACACAGGCCCACACTCATTTATTGATCATTTGGTCAAAGATAAAAGCTAAAACCAAGGATGCATATGATATTGTACACATCCACAAGATAAGTAGCAAAATTAATCTGATATCCAGTTTTCACACATTTTTAACTATTCAGGAACTATTTAGGAAACTTCATCTCATGGATTTCATCAAGGATTTGGTAGCTAGCATACATCAGCTAGCTAATGTTGTTGGTAACAGAGTAGCTGTGTCCAAATTCAGAGGCTACATCCTCCTGAGGTCGCATTTGTAGGCCGATTACATCACAACGACGCGACAAAGGCTTGAAGACTGAGAAAAAATAATTCAGATGAAAAGTCAGAATTCTGACTTTTCTCAGAATTCTGACTTTTTTCTCAGAATAATGACTTTTTTTTCTCAGAATGCTGACTTTTTTCTCAGAATTCTGAGATTAAAGTCAGAATTCTGACTTTTCTCAGAATTCTAGAGAAGAAGAAAAAAAAGACGTGCCCACTTTTTCTTTTTTTTTTCTCCAGTGGCCCTAATCCTCGTCCGCAGCTAAATACGCAATGTCACATTTCTATTTCTACTTGGTATATATGAAAAATCTAAATCTAAAATCTAAAGGGATTTATTGACATATTAAAACGTCCTTAACGTCTAATCTTGTGCATTGTTATATTTTGATGTCCATTATTCCTGATAGATCATGGAAAGCCAAACGCAATACAAACCTGGAATGCCGATGACACAAAGTAAAGGGTAGTAGATCTTCTGGATAGTAACAAAGATGGATAAAGTGGCTCCCTCCATTGTTTGCTCACATGCTAATACCTGCAATAAAACCACTGGATGTACAGTAAGACAAATAATGTTCAGGGCGTCACATTGTGCAGCTTTTTAAGACCTACTTGGAAAGTTTTAGGTGTAACTGTTAGGAAACATATTGTACATGATGACAACTGTTGAGTTTAAGGTGCTAAAAATAGATTTACATTTTATAGGCTACTTTGTTGTAAACTCAAAATAACTCTACATGAAAGCTGGCCTACTGTGTTAGGTGGGTTTCATCTGGGTGTAACTAAAACAAAACATTAATGGTTTCTGAAGAAAGTTATGTTTTTTTCAAATCGCTGTCACTTGGAAATTGCTTGTCTGCGGCCCTGTGTTACTTGAGAGAAGTTAGGGATTGATGACATACTGTAATCTTGATGACATACAGAACCATACATATAGCTTTATTCTTTCGTCCTTTTTACCTTTTAGGAGCTTCGAAACTCTGTATGAATATAGCAGTCTTTACTATTAAAGTGAATTAAATTAGACTTACCTAGTTTTTGCAGGATGTGATTGCTGTGCTCCTTTTAGCTATAAAGTTGCCACATAAAGGGGAGTTTTTCCACAGAGATGCATCCCAGCTGGTTATGAGTCCACAAAGACAATGGTATTGATAATATGAAGGAGAGATGGTGAGGGAGCTCCACCAGCTGCTCCAATAAGGCTTTGGGAGGGGGGAGTCACACCACCTGACATACGGTTGAAGGGAATTTTCCTACACAGTGGAAGCTAATTTCTGGCAGCACTAATAACACACTACTATACTGAAATGACCCCCCTCCCACTCGTGTGTTTTGAATGAAAAAACTTCAAGCAAGAAAAATAGACAGAATTTATTTCTTCCTCTCTACGCAGGTTTGTGAAACCTTTTCATTGGACAGCTCCACTGAAATAGAAAGTCATATGAATTTGAAATGAAACTCTGAGATTTCTGATCATTTTTTGTAAATTTACATAGTGAATTGCTCATCACAATTACTCTACAAGTTTATCCTCTAACACATTCACATCTTAAATCTGGGACTCTCCACCATCATAACCTTAGAACTGAAGAAGATTCTCAGATGAAAGGTGAAACGTTTTCAAGCAACTTTAAAAAAAGTCCACACGCTTTTCTTTCCAAGCTCCTTAGACTACGATGACCTGGATGACACAGGCACATTTACATCTCCTTTTTTGTCCTAATCCTTGCTTTTTTGGAACATAACTTTTCCTTTGAGTTCCTCTGAGTATGTTGTCTCTCTAATTTTGAAAAACTTGAGAATACACTTTAGGACATTATTGTGTGCTTTGCATATTACCATTGCAGTGCTGAGCTCAACTAAATTGCAAAATTTCGAGGCAGATTTTTCTTTTTAAAAAGATGTGCCTCCCTCCTTTTGAATGTAGTACTGATTCTGCAGCTGGTTTCCGTCTAAAATGGTAGGTTGCACATTGATGGAACATCAAAGCTGCTCTCATTCTTCACTGGCAGCATTGACTTTTTAAGCTCTAAACTCTCCCAAAGTAAAATTAGCAAATTATTTTGGATGGTGGTGCTGCTCAACTTTAATTCCACTCACAAACAATCATACATTCAACCCACCATTACCTGTGATCCCTGAGTGTGTCGGCATAAGTGGAAATTGGAACGAGAGTGGCTGAGGAGAAGTGAGTGTGCGTGAGAAGAGGAGTGGCGGCGTTTGGACTGAGTGAAGAGCGAGCATGGATTCCCTCCCCTCTATCCCCTGGAGCCCTGGACCCCTGCCCCACTCACTGTATATACAAATCACTGAGGTTTCACTCTTGTGTCAATAAATTGTCACCTTTATTGCTTGCCAGAACGCTGTCTGCGCTCGAATCCATCTGTTAGCCATGACAAGCTGTACAGTGTGATTAAAGTAATTAGAAATAAGTAACATAACTTAGCTGTGATCAGGTGAGATGTGGTGCTACTCTAAAACTGCTTTTTTGTGAATTTAGCCAATTAAATTCAACAAGATTTAAACAGATGTTTCACAAGCTGTATGGCTGATTTATTTAGTGATTTTTTCAAAAAGTTAGCAAATCTCTTTACTGTACTCTGTACTCATACTAGCTGTCCTCTTTTCTGCCTTCAAATCCTACTGATCAATAAATCAAACAGCAGTGTACAAACAGAATGCTTTAGCTGAGTTTGGAAAATTTGTTGTCATGGAAAAGAAGTGATACATTTCACATAGAAGACATATTGATTAGTCAAACATAGGTGCAACAATCATTAATGACCATTAATGGTAGTGTTACCAGTTGGTGAGCCAGAGACCTGCACTTTCAGTGCTGGAACACTGACTTTAATCCAGGGGTAGGCAACCTTTCTGATGGCGAGTGCCATTTAAAATTTCCTCAGAAGTCAGTGTGCCATATGATTGCATTATGATTCACTCAGATATACACTTGGTTTATATCTGACCCAGATAGACTGCAGGTCATAAACTCTTACCTGAAGTTCAGTTCACCTGACACTCGGACCGTCGGCTGCCTCAGGTCTCTCCTTCTCCTGCCTCCCCTCTACCCCATCCACCTGCTGGCCTCCACCGCTTGTTAATGTTACTGAATCTGTGGAAGCTCCGCCATAGCCACCACCAAACAACTCAGTTATTTTTACACAC